AATTTTCTGATTAAAATTATAAAAACCCGCAACAAGGTATAAAAACAGGCAATTTTTCCCAAAAATCATAGTTTAAAAAAACTCATAACTAAGCCAAAAAATCATTAATTTTAATTCGGAAAGCTGTTCTAAGCTAGTTTTTAGTAGATTAACAAAGCTGCATACTCAGTTTTCAAATTTAAAAGATTCAATTTTTTGCCAAATTTTGCCAATTTTAATGATGTAACCCCTTATAAAATTTTCAATTTTCGGAAAAATGTCAAAAATTATTTATTGACCGGACATGGCTAGAACGACAGGGCTGTTGATGCTGATCAAGAATATATATGGTTTATAGGGTCGGAAATGACTCCTTCACTGTGTTTTAATCTTCTGACTGAAGCTATAATCTGCAAAAAGGTATAAAAACAGACAATTTTCTTAAATAATCTGAGTTTTCCAAACATCATAATTAAGCCAAAATAGCACTAATGTTTATTCGGAAAGCTTTTCTGTGCAAGTTTTTATAGCACTAACAAATCTGCATACTGCGTTTGTTGATGCTGTTATAATTTTCTGATTAAAATTATAAAAACCCGCAACAAGGTATAAAAACAGGCAATTTTTCCCAAAAATCATAGTTTAAAAAAACTCATAGCTAAGCCAAAAAATCATTCATTTTAATTCGGAAAGCTGTTCTATGCTAGTTTTTAGTAGATTAACAAAGCTGCAAACTCAGTTTTCAAATTTAAAAGATTCAATTTTTTGCCAAATTTTGCCAATTTTAATGATGTAACCCCTTATAAAATTTTCAATTTTCGGAAAAATGTCAAAAAATTATTTATTGACCGGACATGGCTAGAACGACAGGGCTGTTGATGCTGATCAAGAATATATATGGTTTATAGGGTCGGAAATGACTCCTTCACTGTGTTTTAATCTTCTGACTGAAGCTATACTCTGCAAAAAGGTATAAAAACAGACAATTTTCTTAAATAATCTGAGTTTTCCAAACATCATAATTAAGCCAAAATAGCACTAATGTTTATTCGGAAAGCTTTTCTGTGCAAGTTTTTATAGCACTAACAAATCTGCATACTGCGTTTGTTGATGCTGTTATAATTTTCTGATTAAAATTATAAAAACCCGCAACAAGGTATAAAAACAGGCAATTTTTCCCAAAAATCATAGTTTAAAAAAACTCATAACTAAGCCAAAAAATCATTCATTTTAATTCGGAAAGCTGTTCTATGCTAGTTTTTAGTAGATTAACAAAGCTGCATACTCAGTTTTCAAATTTAAAAGATTCAATTTTTTGCCAAATTTTGCCAATTTTAATGATGTAACCCCTTATAAAATTTTCAATTTTCGGAAAAATGTCAAAAAATTATTTATTGACCGGACATGGCTAGAACGACAGGGCTGTTGATGCTGATCAAGAATATATATGGTTTATAGGGTCGGAAATGACTCCTTCACTGTGTTTTAATCTTCTGACTGAAGCTATACTCTGCAAAAAGGTATAAAAACAGACAATTTTCTTAAATAATCTGAGTTTTCCAAACATCATAATTAAGCCAAAATAGCACTAATATTTATTCGAAAAGCTTCTCTGTGCAAGTTTTTATAGCACTAACAAATCTGCATACTGCGTTTGTTGATGCTGTTATAATTTTCTGATTAAAATTATAAAAACCCGCAACAAGGTATAAAAACAGGCAATTTTTCCCAAAAATCATAGTTTAAAAAAACTCATAACTAAGCCAAAAAATCATTCATTTTAATTCGGAAAGCTGTTCTATGCTAGTTTTTAGTAGATTAACAAAGCTGCATACTCAGTTTTCAAATTTAAAAGATTCAATTTTTGCCAAATTTTGCCAATTTTAATGATGTAACCCCTTATAAAATTTTCAATTTTCGGAAAAATGTCAAAAAATTATTTATTGACCGGACATGGCTAGAACGACAGGGCTGTTGATGCTGATCAAGAATATATATGGTTTATAGGGTCGGAAATGACTCCTTCACTGTGTTTTAATCTTCTGACTGAAGCTATACTCTGCAAAAAGGTATAAAAACAGACAATTTTCTTAAATAATCTGAGTTTTCCAAACATCATAATTAAGCCAAAATAGCACTAATATTTATTCGAAAAGCTTCTCTGTGCAAGTTTTTATAGCACTAACAAATCTGCATACTGCGTTTGTTGATGCTGTTATAATTTTCTGATTAAAATTATAAAAACCCGCAACAAGGTATAAAAACAGGCAATTTTTCCCAAAAATCATAGTTTAAGAAAACTCATAACTAAGCCAAAAAATCATTAATTTTAATTCGGAAAGCTGTTCTTTGCTAGTTTTTAGTAGATTAACAAAGCTGCATACTCAGTTTTCAAATTTAAAAGATTCAATTTTTTGACAAATTTTGCCAATTTTAATGATGTAACCCCTTATAAAATTTTCAATTTTCGGAAAAATGTCAAAAATTTATTTTTCGACCGGACATGGCTAGAACGACTGGGCTTTTGATGCTGATCAAGAATATATATGGTTTATAGGGTCGGAAATGACTCCTTCACTGTGTTTTAATCTTCTGACTGAAGCTATACTCTGCAAAAAGGTATAAAAACAGACAATTTTCTTAAATAATCTGAGTTTTCCAAACATCATAATTAAGCCAAAATAGCACTAATATTTATTCGAAAAGCTTCTCTGTGCAAGTTTTTATAGCACTAACAAATCTGCATACTGCGTTTGTTGATGCTGTTATAATTTTCTGATTAAAATTATAAAAACCCGCAACAAGGTATAAAAACAGGCAATTTTTCCCAAAAATCATAGTTTAAAAAAACTCATAACTAAGCCAAAAAATCATTAATTTTAATTCGGAAAGCTGTTCTTTGCTAGTTTTTAGTAGATTAACAAAGCTGCATACTCAGTTTTCAAATTTAAAAAATTCAATTTTTTGCCAAATTTTGCCAATTTTAATGATGTAACCCCTTATAAAATTTTCAATTTTCGGAAAAATGTCAAAAAATTATTTATTGACCGGACATGGCTAGAACGACAGGGCTGTTGATGCTGATCAAGAATATATATGGTTTATAGGGTCGGAAATGACTCCTTCACTGTGTTTTAATCTTCTGACTGAAGCTATACTCTGCAAAAAGGTATAAAAACAGACAATTTTCTTAAATAATCTGAGTTTTCCAAACATCATAATTAAGCCAAAATAGCACTAATATTTATTCGAAAAGCTTCTCTGTGCAAGTTTTTATAGCACTAACAAATCTGCATACTGCGTTTGTTGATGCTGTTATAATTTTCTGATTAAAATTATAAAAACCCGCAACAAGGTATAAAAACAGGCAATTTTTCCCAAAAATCATAGTTTAAGAAAACTCATAACTAAGCCAAAAAATCATTAATTTTAATTCGGAAAGCTGTTCTTTGCTAGTTTTTAGTAGATTAACAAAGCTGCATACTCAGTTTTCAAATTTAAAAGATTCAATTTTTTGCCAAATTTTGCCAATTTTAATGATGTCACCCCTTATAAAATTTTCAATTTTCGGAAAAATGTCAAAAATTTATTTATTGACCGGACATGGCTAGAACGACTGGGCTGCTGATGCTGATCAAGAATATATATGGTTTATAGGGTCGGAAATGACTCCTTCACAAGTTTCATATTAAAATTGTAGTCCCCTGTGCCGTTAAAATAGTTGTCCCTAAAGTTTTCCTTTTGTAAATACGAGTTTTTTTTTAAATAGAAAATATCATTTTAAATACAAAACGTAAACCTGCTAAGGTTAATCAAATTATTCCGATAAGCGGAAAATGTCTTAGAATATCACTAAGAAATGTTTACGCCGTTTTTATCTTGTTGTTCATTTATATATTTAATTCTCTCTCCATTTACGTACGTTTAATGTCAGTAATTTCAGTTTTGAATAGAAGACACAGCTGACAACTGTTGTTCGTTTGTCTGATAATTGCGCGGGTAACGAGGCACAGCCAAATCAATTTTAAGGCCCAGACAATGGGCCGCAATGTGAATCAACCAACCTTCAACCGCAACGAGTAAGAGTCCGAGTCTTACTGCAGTTAGAAGACAAGAGACTTTCAGCGGTTTGATGCGGCCCAAAAAACAAATATCATTAGAAACACTAGCTAGCTAGTCAGTTGGTTTGGAAACTGGTTTCCATCGAACAGCTGTAAATACAAGATGAACGGCGCTGGGGAGAAGGCGATGGGGTCTTAAAAGTCAAACGTTAGCACCGACAAGAAGTTCAAATATTTGCGTATGAAATTTAAATGTTTTGCCTAATGAAACGTACCCGGAATATTCTTATCTGTCGTCGTCTTTCACTCCACTAATTGGTTACTCATCAAGGTGATGATCACAGCGGAGATTTCAAATCAATTTCCACTTTCGCTTCAATTTCCACTTTTCATTTCACTTCCATTAATCTACCGACCGAACATATTCACGTGCGCCGCGCCTTGCGTAATTATTCAAATTTTATATATTTTTCGCATTGCCTTGAGATTCGCACATCTCATAGATACATTTTTGAATGCAAGCAATGGGAGGGCTGGTGCTCCAGGTTTTCCGTTCGTTTCGAAACTTTTTTTATAGCCGTCTATATTTTTCGCGTCTGCCAGCAGTTGTTGTTTACCGTTCGCCGCTCGTCAGCTCACTGAAAAAGCCGCCACGCAGCTCCCCTCGCACCCAAAGAAGCTCGGAGAGCACAAGATACAAGATACAAACGGAGGGAATAGAGCGGCTAAGATCTCGAGATTGTTTTGTTTCTCCGCGATCTCGGAGTTTTCATGCTCTTCAACTCGCCGGCCGCCGGCGTGAATGAATTTTAAATTTCATTTTTTGGTGCATAGAGAAAAAATACAGTCAAATTGGTCATTAAATTGGAAATCGAATTGAAGAATAAAAATGCAAAACAAAATATGAGTTCTCAAGGAAAAAAATGTCATAGTCAAAGTAGTCTGTGCGATTACCGTAGCAAATACCATTACCCTTCATCAGAGTTTCGAAAGCAGCCAGAAAACTTTCTTCCAAGCTGAAAATAATTTCATATATTAAAATATTTTATTTTATTTTTTGACGAGCCATGGAAAAGTCACAGCTGCTGAATATAAAAAACTTTCTTCAAGAATTTAACGATCGACTCAAGAATCTAGGGAGTAAATTCATTTCAGTGATTCATTCGATTTTGGGGAACGGCCTAACATCAGATATTCCCTCTTTAATGGAAATTAAGTCGGAACTCACAGAACTAGAAGAAAGACTCGAATACTTTAAGACCCATTATAATCAATGTAAGCATGAAGGATAAACTAATTCAAGATGATGGCTAAACCAATCTTTTATTTTAGATCGTCAGCAAAACTTATTGAAGAAAAACATATCAGGCAATGAAATGGGATCCCTAGAATCCGGATTTGATAGTGGTAAGGATGGAATATTTATTTTATTTATATCATATTTTATTTTATGTCTTAGCTTCTGGGGATACCAATCTATTGGAGCGTGAAATAGATGGCGAAGTTGCAACAGAAGCCGAAGAGGTCTCCCCAATTGTTGATGACTCTGATAACTTAAACAATGACGACAATTAATTAAAAAGAATTCTGTGTTTGTTTTAAATATTAAACCATTTTCATGTATTTCTGCATTATTAAAGGCAAGTTTAGCATGTTCTAAACAAAATCCAAAATGTTGTCCTAAATAGTTTTTAAGGTTCATGTCTGAGCTAATGCACTGCTTGATAGAAATACGTTCGTAGGAGTTTATAAATACCCCCACACTGCTTTCTTTTTATAAAAATTCCCAATGTTGCACAGGTGGCAGCACCCAACGGCAATTTTTAAATATTTAAATATATAAACTAAAATATATATTTCTATTAAGATAAAACACAATCATAATTTCATTGTTATTTTTTGTATTTTTTTCTTGTTCCATTTCGTTTTAATACATACAATATAAAAACTGATAAAAAATCAAAAATAAATAAAATGCATTTAGGCTTAAACTGTGTGTTTTGTTTGTTTCTTGTTTTTCAGTTTGAAATGCGCTTACAAATGGCTGGCAAAGGTCTGGGCTACATACGTCTGTTGTCTACGAAAGATACAAAAATTACAAAGAACAAAAGCTGTGGCTCGGACGCTTTTTCTATGGCCAAAAGTTAAACGTAATTATAATAATTTTAGGCTTAGGCGTTATCAGTTAGAGTTAGACATTAGTTATTGCTGTTCGTGTTCGGGAGCTAATTGGTTTTTGCGTGTTTCTTTTTTTTTTTGTATATATAAATATAATACAAATTAAATATTGTATTTATGTGTCAATTCTAGGGGCTAAAGTGTTTATTTATAGTTAATTTTTGCTAAACGATCACATTGAACAGGCACTCACTCCGTGGCACTCACTCATTCATTCACACACTCGAATCATCACTCACTCGCACTCCGACTTACAAATTACAATTTCGCGCTTAGATCTAGGGGGTAATGAGGGGTGTGGGGGCACAGGGGCTCTTCGGGTCTTACTAAAACTAGAATATGGGCTCGTTACGTATTCTCTCTCCTCAAAAAACTTCTCTACTCTACGCTCTAAATCAAACCATTTTCCGATTTTACGGTCGCCAAGAATTTTAAATTTCTAGATTTCAGTTCATGGATTTTCACGATTCTTAGCTTTTTAGTTCTTGGAGCGACTGTAAAAGAAGTTCGAAAGCCTGGTTTACCTATCTCGTTTCGCGTTTTGATTGCTTCTTTCAAAAGTTTTTATAAAATTTTGGACTCGCATTTCGTATATATGTAGGGGTTGCATGTTTCGTATGCTTGTAGTTCTGCTAATAACATTTTGCTTCACGGATGAATGACTGAGAGGTGTGGGTGGTGTAGGTGCAGGGGGATGCACTTCGCACGTTGGGTAATCACAGCAAATCGGCGCAGACTCCGCCGAACCACGCCATATACAGCGGCAGTAGGTAGACAACCAGAGCACGGCGGAGCGTCATCTTCTCCGGAGCACTGGACGAGCGATGATCTTCGATGTCGTTATGGCTTTCATCTGAATCCTCATCGTCGCCGCCGCGCTGACCATGATCCTCCTCGATTGTGTTGTGATCCTGGTCAAAGTGGGTGGTGTGAATCAATGGATTCTTATCATCCACTCCGCCCGTGGGCCGTGATGTATGCGTGGGCACCTGCGGCCGGGCTCCATCCTCGTCGTCATCGTTGTCCGCATCCACCGTGGGACGATCAACATCTGGCTTATGGCTGGGCTCAAATGGACCGAGGCCAGAGCCATCGTCGTCGTCCTCATCGTCCTCAGAGCCGGAGCCAGAGCCAGCGCCACTGCCCGTATAGGGTTCTTCTGTAAGAATAAATGATATATAAGTAAAAAGGTTTCCAAAGATGAAATCTGTGAGGGATTCTTACCCAGCTCAGTCCACTCTACATCCTGTCCATTATAGGCATTGCGCAGGTGACTGATGGCATTTTTCAGATGAGCCAGCTGCGAGGACATTTGAGCGGTTTGCTTGGTGCTGGCAGGATTGCCACTGAACTCGGGATTGGAGCCATGCTCGGTGGTTATTGAGTGCATGTATCTGCAAGGAGAAATTGGGTTAACTAAGACTTTCTATATACATCTATATCAATTCTCACCTATCAATGGTATGACCATTCCAGCACATGCCATCCACATCGGAACTGGAGGCTATATCCTCGTTGCTGCAAACCGAGTGCGGCAAATTGGACCAGAATTTCTTGTAGTCCTTCACCCGCTGCCGTATATCCCTCACGATCCTGTCTAGGATTGGTTCTCGTCCACCGCCTCCGCTTTCGTTATCATCGTCATCGTTGTCGTCCCGATTATTTTGTTGCTTTCGTCGCTGTTGCTGCTGTTTGCGACGCTGCTGTTGACGCCGGTTGCTGCCACCGCCGCCGCCTCCTCCATTGCCACCGTTTCCTCCGCCATTGCCATTGTTTCCTCCACCATTTCCACCCTTTCCTGCTCCACCTTGTTCCTGCGACTGCTGACCCGAGCTCTCCTGCGAACCTGGCTCAGCTGCTCGGCGCTCTCTCAGCACCATGGCCTCATCCAGCGTGGCATCAATGTCCAGGGTGTCCGCCTCCATGGGACTCTTGGCGTTGAGCACCTGGACGCCCTGCAGCTTGGGGTTAATGGAACGCTTCATTTTCTTCAGCTTGGGTCTGCCGCAGCCCTGGAACACGCGGCTGGTGATGTCTTGGCCAGAATCCTGCAGGGAAATATAAAAGTTTAATGTTAGTAAATGTGAAAGCCATTGTTGTTATGTAATTTAATCTTTGAAATTATTATATAAATTAGAAAGCTTGCTTTTAATTTTAGATCTCGAAACCAGTTGCGCCACAATCAACAGCAATTCCATTCACACCCCGTCGAGTGTGTGGCTCCTAAATGGCTATTTATAGCTGCTTTTTATTGACCCATTCCGTAGATAAGAATTGATTTCAAGCGGCTACTCATTATGGCCCATCATCAGTGGCCACTTGAGCGAGCAGAGACCTCTCGCGACTCGGAGAAGAGTCACCTCTCCTTATCAGCTCACCCATATCACCGGTGTCAGTTCCCAACCGTTTACAGTTCCTCTAATTACGAGGTTTGGGTCAGGGCAGGAGTGGAGTGGGGTTACCCCCTCATCATAACTGTCGACCCTGATGGCAATCATTAAAAGCGGTTCCTCGTCAGTCGGAGTCGGTTCAAAAAAAGCTAATATGAATTAAAATTGAATACTATTTCGCATTTCGCATTTTGCATTTGTGTTTTTTTGGCCTTTTATGGGGCCGTCAGCACGGGCAAAAAGTAAACACATTAAAAGCCAAATGCCGCACAACAACATCAGCGAAACACAAACAACAGCAATAGATATATGTTATGTAGATACAAACAGACAGACGAAACAGAAGAACCAGCGGTTGAATAAAGAAATGTGTATAAATTTTAAATGGAAATATAAATTAAATTCATATGCGAGCCAAATGTTGTGCAAATAAATCGTAAAAATGGCAAACAAAACAAAAGTCAAGCGATAGTTCCAACGAACTCGAAGAGGGGAGAAAGGCCAGGCAAGGGTTTTAAAATATTGCAGTAATCAAAATTCAATAAGTTATGGCCAACCGAGTGTAAATTATTCCCATGCTTTCTGTGTAAATATGTCAAGCATAAATATATGCATTAGTTTTGACAGAATATTTATATGATTGAGAGGTTTTAGTTTTAGTTTTACTGATATAAATACTAAATAAATCATACTTGATAAAGTTCTTTGTATTATTAAAGAAGTTTTTATATATAATATAAATCTCTAAGCTCTCAACTATTTTCTACTTCTTCTAATACAATAATTCCTTGATTCTCAAGCTTCCAAACTCCATAAATATCTTCTCTGACCCGTCACCAACTCAAACTCCTATCAATTGCCACCATCTCGGAGTGGATTTCCCCAACTATTACTCTTTTTTTTGGGGGAGACTCGTTTAAAATGTATGCGAATTAAAGAACCAACACGCATATAAACCACTCGCACGCACTGACAGTTTTATGCGCACATAACTTAGGCCTTCCAGCTGCTTCTGGGCCCCAAAAAAAAACGAGTTACAAATTGCTATTGGTTTATGCTAATGCTAATGATATAATTTATTTTTTAGATATTCCTGCAAGATCTCACCTGGAAGTTCATGATGGCCTCGGAGATCTTGATGTTGAGGGGCTCCACCACCATCACAATGTTGAAGGATCCCAGCAGACGCTCGGCCACCTTGTCCATGGCCAGGGCAAAGTTCTCCCACTCGGAATCGAATTCGTGCTGGAAATGGAGGCATCCCTTGATCACATTCACACAGTAGTTGGTGCAGGGCTTTTCCGTGTAACCCTTGCAGGCGCCGCAGTGTTGCATCTTGGTCAAGGCACCCGTACAGTCGGCATTTAGACGCACCTGGGAATTACTTAAGAATTAGTAAGAGCTTAAAGGAATTTAAATGCTTTCTTGCTACTTACATTCAACACCTTCTTGGCCACCTCAGAGGCCGTGGCCAAGGCCTGGCCATAAGTGCGAGTGGCCACAAAGGAGCGCTTGATCTGGACGGAAAGCTTATCCGGCACATCGCCAAAAGGCTTCAGTTCCTTCATGTGCTCGCTGACGCATCGCATGTAGCTGGAAAAGGGGAAAGGGGAAAAATGAGTACGGAATGTTTTAGGGAAAATATTTTCATTAATTTTCCATCGAGTGTGCAGCCGCAGCAGCGGAAATCTCCGCTTGTAAATGGCATGGCTCAATGCCTTTGCTATGCCTTGCCTTCTGACTTCATCCCACAACAACTAAAACTTTTATGCGGAAAACACATAAAAATAGTTGCTGCTCCAACCATGTGCTGGAGCATTTGCAGCTCCCAATAGCACCTCTGCTCCAACTTGGCCATCAGGCATGACAGTCATTGCACTTGTACGGCTGCCCTCGGCCTTATGGTCAAGAAGTCTCCAGTTTGAGCCACCACCAGCAGCAATTGTTGGCAGTTGCCAGTTGGCAGTTGGCCCTCTCTCTACTTAGGCTAAACAATTTAGAAATTACTGCAAGTTGCATTCGCCGAGGTGACAGATCAGTGA